TATGAATAAGGTAGAAAATAAATCAACAATGGTTACATTAGTTGTGTTTGAAATAGTTTTTTATTTTTATTATATAATTATAGCAGCTGGATACAACATTCGGCAAAGAACAACTTCGCCAAAATGTTCACCAACGATACACTTTACCCGGTGAAGCACCAAAACTAATAGCACCATATTACCGGGCAATGCTTCTGCTTTACCAGCTAGAGTAGCTAACAGTTTACCAAGATTTGATAATTGTTTTTTTATCCAGTCTTTTACACCACTTCCATCTTTTGGAGGAGGCTTAGGTGTTGTAGTTCCACCACCGGTAGTAGGAATAAAAGTCTCAACAATAACACCAATAATCATACCAAAAGCAGTTAAAACACTAACAATTGTAATTCCTTGTTCTCTGAATAATGTTTTTATTCTCTCGGCTAATGTAGTGTCTTCTTTTAATACTTTATATATTGTTTCTTTTATTCTATTTATCTGACTACGTAATTTATCTCTATTAACATCAATAACTTCCAGTCTTGCACTTTTTTCAAACTCCAAATCTCTTATTCGACTACTTATCCTTTCTATTTGGAATTCATCATTATCTGATTTGGCTTGTTCTAATTTACGGTTTTCTCTTTCTATGTCTTTATTTGTTCCAGATAGCTTAACTAATTCATTTGCAATCTCTTCTTTTACAGTAGTCATCGCTTTGAGGACACCATCCATTTCTCTCTTTGTCATATCTGTTTGTGTTTCTTGTTCGTCAGTAAATGATGTTTCTATTACTTTCACTGCAGTTTCAGCTGCATTAGGTAAATCAATCATTTCTATTTTATCAACATTAGGCAGATCATCTTTCGCCCTTTTCAAACTTTTAGCCGCTTGTGCTGATAATGTTTTAGTTGTAGATCTATAATCAGGTAAGTTTAATAAGTTTATAATTGCACTTGTTCCACCACTACCAATTTTACTCGCCAAAGAACCCAAGTTTATAAAACTATCACCTTTTTTGGAAGTAATTTGAGTATCTTTATCACTTAACTTTAAAAATAGTGTTTTATTATCAGGACCAAGTTCAAAGTTTGAATAATCAATATATACAGGGTATAACCCATACTTTTCTTTTATCAAATTGTAATATTTTTTTACTACATATTCTTTTTGTTCTACTATTAATTGTGTTCTTGTATCAAGATCATTACCGATATATTCAATATGAGCACTTTGGTTTTGTATAGTTCTATTAAATTCATAATCATCATCTACAAGCAGTTCATTATCCTCATAATAGTCATCTTTATCAAACGCAGAATTATCAAATTCAAATCACCTTCAGCCATTTTTATTACTTAAAAAATATCCTTAAAAATTTCCTTTAAAAATGTCGGCTTTTGGAGAAAAATTAAACCCTTACAGAAAAAATAAGAGAACCACGTGGTGTAAGAGCATTCGCAAAGTGTTGTTATAACCAATAATCCCTTCAACTATTGACCAAAATCAACAATTGTTAGTGAGATTTCCTAATCTAAGTAGCAATGATGTTATTGTTCCGGATCAGTCAGATTAGCATTTGAAATTGAACTAAACTCTAAGATGTAAATGCGAACAGTATATCCAAACATAGGAAGAGCAATAATTAATGAAAAACAACAATTAGAATAAGTGGAAATGAAGTTATGTCCATTTGATGACAGTGACATCTACCATTGTTATATCGATTTATGGAAGTCTACCCATGAACGTGTAAATTATGGCCTATCAATGTATCAGGCAAAAAATAATATGTTAAAAATAGAGGTTGGGTGCTACAGAGCTGTCAGAAGAACAAAGAAGATAAGCCATTGCAAAAGCAATACAAAAACAGGTTTGCATACCACTTGATTTTTGAATCTATTAGAAACTCCAGATATGCCATTTTATCAGCTGGTCTCGGTGATAGACTCGAATATGAATTTACTTTCAATGATTTATGGAAAGTTAATTAATATCAACAGATAATACTTCAAGTTCTAGCAATCAAAAAATAATGTTTGGAATTTTGATATGGTGTCTGACACAGAACTTTGCAGGACAAATAAAGACAACAAGTCATGTGGTAAATGATTTTTTTATATACAGATCTAAAAGGACACAGAAAAATAACTAATAACAATCTGATACGCTTTGGAATATTAATCTAAATGTTCCAGCTAGAAGTATGAAAGGTTATTCTTTAAGTTTTTATTGAAGACCCAGAGTTAGACATCCAAGCTGAAACCTTTTACGAATTCGAAATTATAACAAATTAGAAATGACAATAGAAGGAGTCCCAAATCAACTATACAGTCAAGGAATGAAATCTTATCAACAGTGGGATGAGATAAATAAATTCTTTGCTTTGAATTCAAAACGAAATAAAGAAACAAATATGATTGTAAAAGATTTATATTTAACTGATACAACCTTAGAAAAATATTTAACAAACAATTATGCATTATGGTTAGATTTACGTTCCACGGATGACAACTCACTACACGGTTCGGGAAGAAGAATTGAAAATGCATCAGAAGGTATCACAATACAAATTACGAAAGAATCAGGAGCGGATGAACCTATAAATGTTTATTTATATATTATACAAGATGCACAAATTAATTTTGAAGATGGTAGATTTAAAGAAATTAGTTATTAAGCGAGTAAGTAGATTATTTTATTTTTTTATTATTAAAATGGAATTACCAAAATATCCACACTGTGCAATTATTTGCGGTCAAACTGGTTGTGGAAAGACTGAATTCGTTTTAGACTTACTTGAAGGTAAATATAATCGTGTATTTAATCATATTGTTATACTTTGTCCAACCATTCAATGGAACAAAGCATACAAAAATCGTAAGTGGATTGGTGACGTCAGAAAACCGAAAACAAAGAATGTTATAATCGTAAATCCGTTAATCAATGGTGAAGAGAAATTACAAGAACTATTAAGAATTTTCTTCAAAAAGTACGCTGGTTCTCCTACTTTATACATCATTGATGATTGCAGTGCTACAAAAAGAATTAACGAAGAAAAAAGATATGCTTTCGGAATTGGCTTTCTCAGGAAGACACGCAGAACAATCAGTATGGGTTATATCACAAAGATACAATTCAGTTTTAAAAGATTTAAGAGAACAAACAAAATGGTTATGTATGTTTTACACAAAAGACAGAGATAGCTTTGAAAATTGTCTACGAGAAAATGATGTCATTCCTACATTGGAAGAAAGGCAAAGAATAAAGGAAGAACTAAAAAAGGAGAAGCATCGTAAATTAATTTTGAAAACTGACCAACCTACTAATTATTGGGTAGTTGATTAAGTTATTTTTTTATTTAATTAATGCTATAGTAATGCTATAGTAATGCTTTAGTAATGCTTTAGTAATGCTATAGTAATGCTTTAGTAATGCTTAAATTATATAAAATAAAGAATAAATTTTTGCTTAAGTAATGCTTAAGTAATGCTTAAGTAATGCTTTAGCAATGCTTTAGTAATGCTAAGGTTTTTACGTATGTTTTTAGTTATGCTTTAGTAATGCTTTAGTAATGCTTTAGTAATGCTTAAATTATATAAAATAAAGAATAAATTTTTGCTTAAGTAATGCTTAAGTAATGCTTAAGTAATGCTATAGTAATGCTTAAGATTTTTAATATTACTTAAAATAGAATAAAAAAAAATGATACCTGAAATACTTCAAATACTAACAATTATAACAAACACTGCAGTCTTATCAGTAGTTGGATATTGCGTATTTAATTATTATAAAATAAAAAAAATATTTAAAAATATACAAATAAAAATGGATGTGCTGAAAAAATACTCAAAGAAAACATTACATGTGATGAAAATAATGAATTAGATGGAATGAAACTTGATAGATTAGCATCAATTGTTGCTGGCGGAGGAAGTAAACAATATCTTGGAAAAGAATACCAAATGTCAGACATTGATACAATGACACCAGAACAAATAAATAAACTATACTGCAGATATGAAGCTAGATTAGGAGCAAGTATGACTAAGACATTGGGAAACTCTTTTATTAATTTATATGTTATGGGTGTATCAAAATATTTTAATGTTGTGGATCCCCCAAAATTAATACAAGATTTAGAAGAAGATCCATTTGTAAATAATGCTCTGAATAGTTCATGTTGTAAACTTTATTTAAGATACGGAATGTATCTTGCTCCTTTTACTGCTATGTTAACAACAGCAAAACATATTGATTTTAATAAATCTACTGGTGAAATTACTACAGATAATGAATTAGAAAATATTACTATAAAAAATGACGAGTGAAAAAGTTGAAATTATTATGCCGGATGAAAAAGAAAAAACTAAAGAAAAAACGAAAAACCCAAAAAGAGTATCTGCAGGTAAGAAAGGTGCAGAAGCAAAAAAAATGAAAGCTGAATTAAATAAAAAAGAAAATGAAGAAATAAAGAAAGAAAACATAAAATTAAAATCTATAACAAAAGATGATGATGATGAAGTTAAAGAATTTACAAGTTTAAATATATACGAAAATTATATACCTTTGTGTTTAATTGGAGTTGCCGGATTGTGATTATATATTTATAATTCTAAACAAGTTAAACCTATTATAGAACAGCAACCTGTGATACAACAGCAACCTGTTCTACAAAAAAAAGAAATTGAGTCAAAAGAAAATAGTATAGGAAGTTGGTAAAAAAAAATTGTTTAAATTTAATATATAAAAATGGCGACACAAATTGACGGAAAACAAATAGCGAACATGTTATATCATGCTGGAGTGGAAACTGCACTAACAATTGGATATTCAGAACTAGGTAGAAAACTATTAAAAAGACCAGCACCAAAAGTAGATTTTAATATGGGAGATGTTGGAATGTTAACTATCGATATATTACTCGCAATGGCAACTAAAGATATGTTGGTTAAGCAGGGTATTATACCAGCAGATATTATGAAGTAAACTTTTTTTAATTTTATTTTATTTATTTAAAAATGGCTAGTGCAGTAATAATGATGATTGGTGGTGCAGCGGTTAATGCGTTAGCCTTTTCGGGTAGTAATTATTTGTTTTCTCATATGGGTAAAAATAGTGATATAGAGAGAAAAAGACACGAAAAAGCGATGGAAAAATTACAAGAAGAAACAACTGCATGGAATGAAAAGAGAACAGAAAGATTAGATTTTATTAATGAACAAATGAAAAAGGAACGTCATGCTACGGAAGAATTTGATAATGCTGATACAGCAATGAAAGAATATTATTATATTACTGGAAAACAATTACCGGCTTTACCTCCTAAACCCGAATTAAGTGATTTTTACACTCCGTCAGAAGACCAGAAAAATAGAGAGATTGCATTTATTGTTGGTGGTATGGCATTAACTGGTTTTCTTGCATATAAAATTAAGTAAAATAACCATACGGTAAAGTATCTATTCCATTATCACATATATATCTTTTATCATCAAATGGTGACATACTTATTTTATTTATTTCATTAACATACATTTTATGTTTATCAGAATTCATTGTATACATTTTATTCATTTTAGTTTTATTATTAAACAGACAATCTTTATAATCATCAAACTTAATATCTTTCTTTATTGTTGTTTTTCCAATTCCTTTTAAATTTTTTTCTTCTTCTACTTTTTGATTACTTAAATCTGTTAACGTGAAAGAATATGCTTTACTTCTCAGGAAAACTATTTCATTCATAATTTTACCATTAAGTTCATCTTTAAATTTACCAATTACTTTCTTATTATCTTCTGAATATAAAGGATGATCTTTAGGATAATCTGACGTATCTAGTTCATCTTTTATTTTTTCCATATCTTCATATATATCTTTAGTTTTAATAGAAAAGAAAATACTATCAGTATCACTTGCAACTAATTCATTCTTTTTCCATAATTTATTAACAACATTATAATAAAAGTCATACATTAATTTTTTTGAGTAATCTAATACAGCTTGTCCTAAATAAATAGGTTTGTTAAATTTAACGGAAGTAACATTATTTATTATTGCAACAAAGTTATCGTTAAATATTACTGAATCTTTAAAATTTGGTTTGTTTATATATTTTTTTACTTTGTCTTTATTGTTAGATAATATAATTTCACTTCTTCCTCTAATATTTTCTAATGTCTTTCCGTAGAAACTATTGTTCATTAACTTCCATAAGTCTTTTTCAAAATCTGATTTTCCATCCTTTCTTTGTTCGGTATTAAAATCAATATATTTTTTTAACCATTTACTTTCTTCAAAGGAAATAGTTCTATATACTTTTGTTACTTTCATACCGAGTTTAATATATTCCTTTAAAATACTATTATGAACAATATATTTCTTTTTATCATATAATGTTAAGAAAAGTTTTTTTTCTTTACCTAATGGTTTATCTCCTAATAACCTCCTCTTTTGGGTACCTCTACGTGGTGAGGAGGAGTAACATGTGTCCGTTATGGGGGTGCGCTGCTGTGCGCCTGTATGACGAACATATGGCCAACACCCAGACTGCCTGTTTGCCGTGGGCAGCGTCCCGTAACCTAGAAAGGAGGGTCCTGGTAGTTGAAGGATACCCAGGGATCTCCAGTACTCCTAACACACTGCTTTGGCCTCTGCTTTAGGGTAGACGGGTGACCAAGTGAGCCCGGCTTTGGTCAATCGGCTGGTCATGCCTTGCCCTTGGATATATATTTCTTAAAAACTTGAAAATTTCATTGAACTTACACGGTCCCGAAATGAATACAATTCAATTCACACAAATTATTAAAAAAAAAAAAAGTTTAAATTTTTATTTCTACTTGTGTTTCTTGTATACCTTTAATTCCTACTGAAACTGCTATGATGGGTGCCGTTATGTTAAAACAATATTTCATATATGCATTATAAATACAGTATAACATATCCAAGAAGGCGGTGGCTAATGGGCTAATTGTGTAGGTTGTAAATATTTGCAATTTATGCGAGTATATCTCTCTGGTATCCTTGATGTGCGGAGACTGGATATCCGTCTCCATCGCACATCCCCATGTTGGAGTCCGAGGTGGCTGGGGAACCTGGGAGACGAATTTTAATACCTTTAATCATGGATATACAAACAAAAAAACGAAAATCGCAAGATGATTCAAGTGGTAACATTTCATTTGATGGAAGTTTTCCCCGTTTTCTAATAATCAAATCAAACGGATCCAAATCACTTACTGAACTTAGCCCCTTCATTATAGAAAAACAACTTTCGGCTTTAATTGGAACACCTAAATCTGTCAAGAAACTCCGCAATGGAGGACTCTTGATAGAAGTAGAGCGGAAACAACAATCGGACATTATTCTGAAATGTACCAGCTTTTTTAACATTGACATAAATGCCACACCACACCAGTCTCTAAACTCCAGCAAGGGCGTCATCAGATGTTCTGACCTTGCTGGAATGCTAGAAGCAGATATTGCTGAAGAGTTAAAATCACAGCAGGTATCAAATGTCAAGCGCATTCAGTCTACAAGAGATGGTAAACGACTGCCAACGAATAGCCTTATTCTAACATTCTCCACACCCATTCTCCCATCATCGATACGAGTAGGTTACCTTAACGTTCGCGTTGCGGTTTACATTCCAAACCCAATGCAATGTTACAAATGCTTCAAATTTGGTCATCATGAATCAAATTGCGTTAGACAGACTATTTGCCGCCGATGTAGCTCAAACCATGACAAAAATGAGACTTGTAACGTTCCTGTTAAATGTGCAAATTGTGAAGGAGAGCATTACGCCACCTCCCGGTCATGCCCCTTGTGGTTAAAGGAAAAAGAAATTCTTCGTCAGAAGTATACGCAAAATATTTCCTTTCAAGATGCACGAAAGCTTGTTGAATCACAAGGACCAAAACAACTGTCGTATTCAGCTGCAGTTACAAAGTCTGTTAAGATGGTTGACTCTGCAGTACAGGTCAACTTATGTCAATGCCCCCCAATTAAGTTACCATTACCTACAAAGCATACAGCTTCACAAAGTAAGCAGTCTACCTCTGTGCAGACTCAGTCACCATTAAAGTCTTCTCCAAAGAAGCAAACCGCAAACATTCAAATAGCATCTTCTGAGAAAGTTATTCCAAAACAATCGCCTAAAGAGCGAATTGTCATCACAGATCGGTTGAAAAAAGCAATGCGGAACCCGATCAACACAGAAAATCGGTTCGATCCACTTCACGACACCCAATTGATGGAGGATGAGGATCTTTACCTCTCCCCTCCTCCAACTCCGAATAGCAGAAGTCCAATAAAGTTTCCTAAATGATATAAATATTCTTTAAAATGGATAATAGAAGTCATTCTATCCTACAATGGAATTGCCGAGGTCTTAAGTCAAATTATAATGATCTACTTTTACTATTATCAAATTTCTCTCCAAATGTATTATGTCTTCAGGAGACTATGTTATCTCCTAAAGATAATATCTCTATAAAAGATTATACAATTTATAATTATATATGCACTAGTAACGCCAGAACATCAGGTGGTACAAGCATTGCTATCGCAAATTGCATTTCTCAAAAAGAATTAAAACTAAACACAAGATTACAAGCTTTAGCTGTGCAGGTGACCTTACATCGACCACTAACAATTTGTTTTTTATACCTTCCTCCAAATTTAACGGTAACAAGTGATGAACTTGAAAGTATTGTTCGGCAATTACCATCACCTTTCCTTTTGTTAGGCGACTTTAATGCTCACAATCCTATGTGGGGCAGTACATCTACAAATAATAAGGGTAACATAACTGAAAAATTGATAGATAACTTTCAGCTTTGTTTATTAAACAATCGGTCACCTACATATTTACATCCAGCTACAGGTACGTTTTCTTGCATCGACCTCTCGATTGTCCACTCTGCTATATACTTGGACTTCGATTGGAAAGTTTTAGATGACCAGTACGGCAGTGATCATTATCCATTGTTACTTACATCAAATGACTCTATACCAGATGAAGGACGTCAAATTTTTAAATTTAAGAAAGCAGATTGGGAAACATTTACTAGGCTCTGTTCTATTGATCTAACAAAAATGAATTTGATTTCACCTCTGATGATATAGCTGAAACTTTCTCTTCAGCATTACATACGATTGCTTGCAAAGTTATTCCATTACAAAAAAATAATAAAAGTAACAAAATCAAAAAACCATGGTTTAACGATGAATGTAAAAAAGCCGTTCGTATACGTAAAGCTTCACTCAAAAAGTTTGAACATAGCCCTACAACAGAAAACCTTGAAAATTATAGAATATTTAGAGCCAAAGCTAGAAGATCAGTGCGTCAATCTAAACGCCAATCATGGCAATCTTATGTTTCAAATATTAACTCAAATACTCCTATTAGGAAAGTCTGGGATGCAGTACGAAAAATAAGTGGTAAGTATAAAAAGAGTCCAACTGTTCATTTAAAAACTGGTGATGGCCAATATGCCAAAACAAAAACAGATATTGCAGAAACTTTGGCTAAAACGTTTGAAAAGAACTCTTCTTCAAGCAATTATACAAATACATTTTAACAACATAAATGTAAAGCTGAGAAAGAGTATATTAATTTTACTACAACAAACGACGAAGACTATAATTCCCTTTTCTCTATTGATGACTTAATTTATTCAATCAAAACTGCAAAAGATAGTGCTGCAGGCCCGGACGAAATTTACTACCAGTTTCTTAAACATTTACCACCCCAATCCTTGGACTTGCTTCTTGAAATTTTTAACAAAATTTGGGTATCTGGTCAATTTCCCAACACTTGGAAGAATGCGTTGATTATTCCTATCCCTAAACCTGGAAAAGATTCAACTGACCCTACAAATTATCGCCCAATTTCACTTACAAGTTGCCTCTGCAAAACATTCGAGAGAATGATAAATAATCGGTTAGTTTGGTATCTAGAAAATAATGGAATTATCACTAATTTTCAGTCAAGTTTTCGTAAACAGCGAAGTACAAACGATCATCTTGTACGACTTGAGACTTTTATTAGAGAAGCCTTTGTAAATAAACAACACCTGGTATCAATTTTCTTTGATCTTGAGAAGGCTTACGACACTACTTGGAAATATGGTATCCTAAAAGATCTGAAGGATGCTGGACTTAATGGCAGACTTCCTCTTTTCATTTCTGGATTTTTAAACGATAGGCACTTTAAAGTAAGACTTGGTTCAACTTTTTCTCAAGACCACCAACAAGAACAAGGTGTTCCTCAAGGAAGCATACTTTCTGTTACACTTTTTGGCCTTAAAATAAACAATATTGCTAGCGCTCTTACACCAGGCATAGATTGTTCTCTATATGTAGACGATTTTCTTATCTGCTATCGATCGAAAAGTATGAGAACAATTGAACGGCAACTTCAACAAAATTTAGATAAAATTCAGAAGTGGGCAATAGAAAATGGGTTTAAATTTTCAAAGTCAAAAACTCAATGTGTTCATTTCTGCCGATTGCGAAAACAACATAATGACCCTGAACTTTACATATCTGGTTCTAAAATTCCAGTAGTTGATGAAGCTAAGTTTCTAGGAATTATATTTGATAAAAAACTTTCTTTTATACCGCATATTAAACATTTGAAAACTAAATGCCTAAAAGCTTTAAATTTACTTAAGGTTTTATCAAGTACAAATTGGGGATCAAATTCTTCCACATTACTGAAACTATACAGAAGTCTTATCCGATCAAAATTAGATTATGGTTCTGTAGTATATGGGTCTGCAAGAAAATCATATCTTCAAATGCTAGATACCATACATCACCAGGGTTTACGTTTAGCTTTAGGTGCTTTTCGCACTTCACCTGTAGAAAGTCTATATGCGGAAGCTGGGGAACCATCGCTTTATCTTCGTCGTAAAAAGCTATCACTTCAATATGCAACTAGAATTTCATCTAATAGGAAAAATCCAGCTAAAAATATTATTTTCAAACCAAGTTATACTGAAAAATTTGTTAACAAACCAAAGGAAATTAAACCATTAGGCCTTCGTTTAAAAGATGATTTAGATAAACTTAAAATTAATCCAGACAGTATCCTTCAAAATGACGATGAGGATGTTCCACCCTGGACTTATAATTCCCCGGAAATAAATATTAACCTTTCAAATATAAAAAAGGCATCAAATTCACCTGAATATTTCAAAGAGAAGTTTCTAGCAATTAAGGAAGAACATGAAGATTTTATACATATTTATACGGACGGTTCAAAAGAAGGTTGCAAAGTAGGTGCGGCTGTGTTTGAAAATAATTTTACATCTAGTATGAGGTTACCAGATAATGCATCAATTTTTACTGCTGAAGCAAAAGATATCGATTTAGCATTGTCATACATAGCACAGCATACCCACGATAAATTTGTGATATTTTCTGATTCGCTTTCTGTTTTAATATCCATTAAAAATAAAAAATCTGACAATATCATTGTAAAGAAACTTCTTTTACGATTTCATGATATACTAAAAACAAAATATGTTAAATTATATTGGATTCCAAGCCATGTAGGAATACGAGGAAATGAAAAAGTAGATGCTTTAGCTAAACAATCATTAAATTTTCGAAAAACTGACTTATTGTTACCTGCTTGTGATTTTAGACCAGCTATAAATAAACTCGTATCATCTGAATGGAAAGCAAATTGGGACAATGCCGTTTTTAATAAACTTCACGATATAAACCCATCTCTTGATATGTCACCATCTCTATCTCTGTCAAACCGCCGTGATCAAACAGTTCTTCTTCGATGCCGAATTGGACACACTAAAATTACCCACTCTTATCTCCTCACAAATGACAATGCCCCTTTCTGTGTAGGTTGTAATGAAAATTTTACTGTCAAGCATTTTCTTCTTGAATGTCATGATTTTTCACAGGCCCGTAATAGATTTTATTCTGTAAATTCACGCAAAGAACTTTTTAATACAATTCCATCAAAAAACATAATTGATTATTTAAAAGAGATAAATTTGTATTCTAGGATCTAATTTGCTCATTTCTATTGTCATTTACAATGCTTTACATAATATTTTAAGCCTATTATAGCATTCGGCACGATATGGCCAGTTATGTGTTGACGTGCCGTAAAAATCCAAACAAACAAACAAACAAATCTCCTAATAAATTTAATTGATAATCAGATAATTCTTCTTTATTTACTTTAATTTTTTCTGGTGCTAGAGGATATCTAAATGTTTTCTTTTTGCATTTATTTGTATATTCTAAATCACATTCAACTATACATCCTCTTCCTTCTGGAATATTCTTATAATATTCCTGATTTTCTTCCCATTTAAAATCTCTTGTAGGTAAAGGTTTTGACATTGCCCAACCGTATAAATTATTTGCATCAAGATATAGTAAATATTTTTCTTCTAGAAAATCATGTAAGTTTCCTCCATTCTTTAATATTTCTAAACATTCTTTCATTTCATTTTCATCTAATATTCTATTTCCATTATCATAGTTAGGAGTATATTGATTAAAAGCTTTAACGTGTCTAGGTCCTAGAACACCAGAACATCCTCCTCTAATACCTTTCTCAAACATTTGTAACATATTTATATCTGTTAATAATTCTAATTCTATTTCTGTATACTTTAAACCACATTGCCACGTTAAACCTGGTGCAGAATAACAGTAACAAGGATCAATTTCATGATGTTTTAAAAAGAATTCTCTAAACTTTTCGAATGCATCTGCTAATATCAATACGTCTGTTTTAAGATATAAATTATGATAATCCTGTAAAGTTTTACAATTATAATGTTTCCAGACTTTTTGTGCATGTTCATACTCTTTTTCTGTAATTGTTTTTTGGGTTAATGTTGAATAAAATTCTTTAATATCTGGCAATTTATCATCTTTTAATCTTTCAATAGAATCAATGTATTCGTACGGATAGAATCCTTTTTGTTTTAGTAGACAAATATTTCCGTCAAACTCTTTTTCTAAAATAGGAAACTCGTCCATTGATTTAGCAATATCTGATAAGCCTTTTAACATAAATCTGTATGAATCAAGGAATCTTAATTTTTTAAATGCTGTTCCGTAATCTATAGAAATATATTCTTCTGAGTTTTTAGAAAGAAGTTTTACTTTATTATATTCATCTTCATACTTCATCAATTCTTCAATTACAAAATGGAAATCATAATTTGATCCATTATGAAAGAACACGGGTATTAATTTTGTTGCTTTACCTTCTTTTGTATTGCAAGATTGACACGCTGCTCCTCTATATTTTCCTGAAAGATGATTATGTTCCCTTATTTTACAATTATCTTCAAATTCTTTTTTACAAATATAACATTCAGTTGCTTCTTGAAATTCATCTTCTTCTTGTTTACTTAAACATGGTTTTTTCTTTTCATTTAGATACATCTGATAAGTAATCTTTTTAAAAATTTTAACTATCTTTTCAACATATTTTTCTTTTGCATCGTTTCCAACATAAGAAATGTATTCTGATTCATAGATTTCTGGATAATCAGATTTAACATATATTCCATAACTATTTATTTCTTGTTTACTTATCGGGTTTATATAAGATTCATTAGGATTTGGTTGAGATGACTTTATGGGAATATTGTTTGATTCAAAATCAGAATAGATAACAAATGGTAATTTATTTTTAAAATGATAATTTGTAAATTTAAGAATATTTTCTCCTGGTTTAGGCATTATGGTTGTACAAGGTTTATTATCATAACATATTTCTTTATGTCTTATTAGTGTTTTTTCTCTTTGAAATCCTTGTAAACAATTTCTACATGTAAATGATTTATTCTTATTCTTATCACACATGAAACTATCTAAATCTTTAATTAAACAATAATGGGTATTTTCATTACTTTCAATGTATAAGAGATCAACTACATTTTTACTTTCTATGTTTGAAACATAAACCGGATATAAAGATTGTTTATCTGTTTGGTTCTCTAACGCAAATACGTTGATACTTAGATTATTTTGTTTCTCTACTTTTGGGATATCTTTTATTGATACAGGATATTCAATCCCTTTCATATTAATTTTATTTTCATATTCTTTATATTTAGTTACTCTTTGTTTATCTCTAGAAGCAGGATATAACTTTGATAATATAGACCAAAGAAAACATTTGTTATCATTTTTATTTTGAACATTAATAATATTAACTGATTTAAATTGAAGAGGAATATAAGATGAAGCTTTCTGATAATCATATTTATATTGTTTCACTTTTACACTTTTAATATTGTTGAAAACAAAACCAGATCCTCTTTCTTGAAATTCATCTATCCAAGCTTCAAATTTATTTATTAAACTTTTATAGAATGTAGATATATTATTTTGTGTTAGGATAACTTGAACAGGATGAGAGTAATGACTTTCTATTATATCAAATGCCATGGGAGTTGAAAATTCACTCGTTATTATTATTTTTATTTTAAGAGGAAATTGATTGATATCTATTTTATCTTTTAATAATTTTATATATTTAGTTATACCCTCTTCGTCTATATCATCAATAATAGTTTCAGTAATAAGATCTTTAAATGTTTTGGATTTTTGTGTTCTCATTTTTAATATATATAATTTTAATTATCTATAAATTTTTTATTTTTTTTTATTGTAATATTCATGTTGATAATTAGGATTTTTAAGTATAAATTCTTGATAAGATTTTTTATATTTTTCTTTATTATTTTGATAATGTAATATTTGTTTTGGTTTATTACATTGTATACATGAAGATTTAACTCCCATTATTCTACCGTTTTGTTTATGATATTCGCTTAGTAATTTGTATTCATTACATTTTGTACAGATTTTTCCTTCTGTCATTTTTTACGAAATCAATTTTATATATTAAAAATGGAGCATCCGAAAATATATTGTTTACGTTGTAAAAAACATACCGATAATGATTCAGTAGAGCAAGTAACAACAACTAATAATAGACAAATGCTAAAAGCTAAATGTTCTGAATGCGGATCTAAAAAAAGTAGATTTATAGCTGGTTTAACAAATAAATAAGCAGATGAATTACATCATAGAGTTATAAAAAAATTCCCCAAAAGACGTGTTTATGTTAATTCAATAGACCAAACATGGGCAGTTGATTTAGCAGATATGCAACAATATTCGAAACAAAATAAACACTATAAATATTTATTAGCAGTTATAGATGTTTTTAGTAAATACGGTTGGCTAATTCCCTTAAAAAATAAAACAGGAGTAACGGTAAGTGAAGCATTTAAAACATTATTTGAAGAAAGAAAACCAATGTATATTTGGTCAGATAAAGGTTCTGAATTTTATAACCGGCAAGTAAAAGAATTGTTAAAAGAGAATAACATAAAGTTATATTCAACTGAGAATGAAGAAAAATCTAGTGTAGTAGAACGCTGGATAGGAACAATGAAACAACGTATGTTTAAATATTTTACTGCTCACGAAACTAATAAATATTATGATGTATTAGATGATTTAGTTAAAGATTATAACAATACAGTTCATTCTTCAATTAAAATGACACCTGTTGAAGCAAGTAAAAAAGAGAATGAATCAACAGTGTATGAACATTTATATCCGGAAAAAGAAGAAGAAATTAAAAAACCTAAATTCAAAGTTGGAGATAGAGTAAGAATTGCAAAAATGAAAGGTAAATTTGAAAAGGGTTATACTACCCGTTGGAGAAGAGAAATATTTGTAATTGATGAAGTTTTAAATACAGATCCTTTTACTTATAAAATAAAAGATTTAAAAGATGAAGAAATTAAAGGTAGTTTTTATGAACAAGAATTACAGAATACTGATTTTTAGAATATAAAAATGAGTATCTTTGGAATCAAAAAACATAAAAGAAACAACTCTGAACTTGGTAATAAAATGAATATACCATTAGATATGAGCGGTAACTCTATAATTAATTTAGGAAATCCAGAAAAACCAAGTGATGCTGTTAGCAAAAGATTTGTTTTTAGGAAAATTAAAAGTGTAATAGACGACTATGAATTGGAAGATATAAAAAACATTAAAGACTTACTTCAAACCGAAAAGTCAGACATTGATCAACTTTCTGAAAGCATTAAAAATAATGAAGAAGCAATAATCACACTGCACGGTCAACTCCAGAAAGAAATGGCAATCTTATCAGAATCACTTAGTAAAACAGATGATGAAATAAAAGTTGCATTAAGGCAAAACATTCTTTTAATCGCAAACCGAATTGATAATATAAAGAATAGCATGATTAAACACAACGAACTTAAGAACAAACTTGCTGAAGTTGAGAAAAAGCTACAAAATATGTATAAGTTAGAAATAAAAGAAGAAATAAAAACGTTAAAAGATGACTCAACGGAATTGTTTAATACATTTTCTGAAAAGTTTGATGAATTCAAAGCACAACTAGAACAATCTGCTTCACAAAGAAGCGATGTTCAAGATGGAGAAATTAATAATTTAAAAGTTAAATTAAATCAAATGAAAGATTTCCTTACTGATAATCTGCAGAAAGAAATTACCAGACTTGATGTGGATGTTAAAAATTCAGTTACGATTCTGAAAAGTAAAATAGAAGCTCTCGAAAAGGTGCAAAATAAACGAGCTGATGACTTAGGTAAAATTATACTTGATACAACCTCGGACCTCTCAGTAGTAAACAAGGAGATATCTGATATTATTAACAACAAAATATATCATGTTCCTTTATTTCATATGTGGAATGATTCTATTCAAGAAGTTAAAGTTTTACCTACTACTTACGAAATCGGTAAAAATAATCGTTATATTCAAACTCATAACCTATTTGAGTTTTTTAATTCTCATTATTCACCTGTTGTAAATTATAATGATTATATAGAAGAGGAACGTGAATTGAATATAGGTGACTTTAGAAACGTGAGTGGTTTTACAACTAAAAAAGATGGAACATACTACATTAATATAAAACTTATAATAAAGGGTAAAAGCGACTTTTTATTGATATGGCAGGAAAATTACAGATCTGAAAACGAAGACAGGACTCATGAAGTACTTTTAAAAAGATCAACGGATGCAGATGTGTTTGAAGACGTTATAAAACAACAGTTTTTAAAGAATACATCAATTGCAATTATTCCAGTTCTGATTACCGACCAATTATTTACTATTGAAAAAGGTAGTTACATTAGATTTACTTATTCTTGGGAATGATTTCTTTTAAATTGTATTCAAAAAAATCCCTTTAAAAATGAAGCAACCAACAGCCCCGGATCCTTTATATCCAGAATTACCAGTAGAAGATGGTCAAAATTATAGATTACAGAAGATATCAGAAATAGAAAAAAAATTAATTAATGAGAGGGATACTCGTAAATCATTATACAAGAAATATAAACGCGGAATTAATATTACTGATGGTGTTGATACAACTCTCATTTCTGGGAGTGTGGTTATGGGTGGTATTGGAATCGTAGTACCGTTTATGTTGCCATTAGAAATTGTGGCAGCAGTTTGTGGTGTAGCGGGGGTATGTGTAAAGTTTATTAGAAGGAGACTGCATTCAAAAGCAAAGAAGCATGATGAGATTAAAACTATTGCTGATAGTAAATTAAATAGTATAAAAGATTTAATTTCAAAAGCTTTAACAGACGGAAAAATATCCGAAAATGAATTTAAATTAGTTTTAGATGAATTAGATAAATATAATAAACTAAAAGATAGTATTCGTTCAAAACAAACAGGATTGAGTGAGACAGAAAGAAAGAAGTTAATAGAAGAGGGAAAGGCACAGGCTTTGAACGAGTTAAAAAAAAATGGGAAATGTATAATTTTATTCACTAAAGTTACTATAATTAATGATCCACCGCCGAAATATAAAAGTTAACCAGACCTTTTATTATTTTTTTTATTATTTTTTAACAATGAGTAAAATATAAATACATACACAAACTTTTAAAACGCATTTAAATACAAACTTTAAATACACCCGGTTATGCATAACCGTTTCTAAATATAGCATTGAGAAATACAAACTTTAAATACACCCGGTTATGCATAACCGTTTCTAAATATAGCATTGACAAATAGTCACTGTGGTTGATTGGTGGTGGCAGCGTCTTGTGATGATTGAAGATCTTTAGTGGGTGGCAAGTTCGCAGGCGTTTTCCAGAATTCATTGTATTCTGGAATTTGTAACATGATAGATATTTCTTTGAGTTTTCTCAAAATGTAATTTAGGGGTAATCCCACAAAAAGAAATTGATTATATCCATAAAGGGCCTTTGCAAGAGCACGTAGCTTCCTCGCGTGGTCATCGGAATACCCAGTCTTCTCTTTTAACCATGAGGACCAAGACTGCTTGATTCTTCCGGCTTTCCTTTCTCCTTCCAACCAGATTTTGGCAAGATTTAAAAAATTCCCAAAATTAATATAAATACAGAGCGTTTGGGCATCCTGTCGTTTCAAATTCCGTATCCCTTTATTTAATTTATCCACAATGTTCTCCTCACTCTCATCACCAGAGAGCAAATAAGTATTGCTAAATGTTTCTCTAGAAATTGAGTGGTTGATATCAGCAATGTTGTCTAACAGATATTGGTGTAGTTCTTGAGGGGTCATTTCTTCCTTATTTACTTTTTTCAGTCCATAAACGTCCCTAAGCCGCTGTTTAGGTTTTTTAGGCAGCTTCGGCATCTTTCCGGTTGGTCCATTTGATTCAATTGTATCAATCAACGACCCCATATTTTGATAAAATATTCGATGCTCATTAATTAATTGTTTTTGGGCAGAAGTCCATTGTTGTTGTTGTTGCTGTTCCATATCTGTAAAATCACATATTTCACGTTCTAAAGAACTAAAATCCACTGTATCCTGAGACATTATGAAACACGTCTTCTCGGTCTGATATCCAGTGGGTAAAAGACCGTATGTTTGCTTATTAACTTATTTCATAATAGCTCGGTATTCATTCAAGTAGAAATTATTATTCATTCAAAGTAAAGGAGTGGAAAACAGTATTAAAAATAGATATTATGTTTAAGCTATCAAACCATAAAGTTAACCACAAAGATTAGTCAGTCGTTTCAATGTGTTTACATAAAGTACATTAATAAACCACAGGCATTTATAAATTTAAATGGAGTATTTTAAGTGTAGATTTAAACGTTAGTGAATTTTCGTTTTATAAAATTTTAATGTTTTCAAAGGGATCCCTCTAGAGGTTATTTTATTTTTTATTTTTTAGGGGTGTGGGTCCGAGTCCCGCCGGGGATAAAAATTTTTTTTTTTGGCGGGTACTATAATTATCATGATTTAAGCATTTCTGTACTTTTCAATTTGGGGGTATAACGGGATGATATTTTTTTTTTAGGGGGGGGGGGGTGCGCTAGACTCGTTCAATGAAAAAGTGTCTTATATATCTATATTGGGGTTTTTTGAATGTTTGAAACCGTTATTTTGATGATTTAATGGTTTAGAAATTTCAGTTTATGTAATTAAGACGTTATTTTGATGATTTAATGAATTGTCATTTTGGGGTGCGCTAGACTCGTTCAATTACTATACTACTATGGGAAACTAAATTGACAGGTCGCTACAGATAAAAAAAACTGTCTAAATGTGTTTTTTTTTCTTTTATGTAACTTTTAAAGGGTAAGATATGTCTTTAAAAATCAATTAAGAGTCGTTTTAATTTCTTAAATTTTTAAGTTCAGGCCGCCAGGCCGCCAACTTCACAAAAATGATAAAATGAAAAAGTGTTCTCAAAGTGATTTTTTCTTTTGATATATGCTTTAAATAACAATAATTATCTTTAAAACTTCATTAAATGCCGTTTTAATGTAAAAAAAAAACATTTCTACAACATTAAAATTTTTGGCCGCCAGGCCGCTGGGCCGCCAACTTCACAAAAATGACAAAATAAAAAAGTTCTCTGAAAGTGATTTTTTCTTTTGATATATCCTTTAAATAACAATAATTATCTTTAAAACTTCATTAAATGCCGTTTTATTGTTAAAAAAACATTTCTATAACATTAAAATGTTTGGCCGCCAGGCCGCTGGGCCGCCAACTTCACAAAAATGACAAAATAAAAAAATTCTATAAAAGTGATTTTTTCTTTTGATATATCCTTTAAATAACAATAATTATCTCTAAAATTTCATTAAATGCCGTTTTATTGTTAAAATAATATTTCTACAACATTAAAATTTTTGGCCGCTGGGCCGCCAACTTCACAAAAAATACAAAATAAAGAAGTTCTCTGAAAGTGATTTTTTCTTTAAATATATCCTTTAAATAACAATAATCATCTTTAAAACTTCATTAAATGCCGTTTTATTGTTAAAATAACATTTCTACAACATAAAAATTTTTGGCTGCCAGGCCGCTGGGCCGCCAACTTCACAAAAATGACAAAATAAAAAAATTCTCTAAAAGTGATTTTTTCTTTTGATATATCATTTAAATAACAATAATTATCTTTAAAACTTCATTAAATGCCGTTTTATTGTTAAAATAACATTTCTACAACATTAAAATTTTTGGCCGCTGGGCCGCCAACTTCACAAAAATGACAAAATAAAAAAGTTCTCTGAAAGTGATTTTTTCTTTAGATATATCCTTTAAATAACAATAATTATCTTTAAAACTTCATTAAATGCCGTTTTATTGTTAAAATAACATTTCTACAACATTAAAATTTTTGGCCGCCAGGCCGCTGGGCCGCCAACTTCACAAAAATGACAAAATAAAAAAATTCTCTGAAAGTGATTTTTTCTTTTGATATATCCTTTAAATAACAATAATTATCTTTAAAACTTCATTAAATGCCGTTTTATTGTTAAAATAACATTTCTACAACATTAAAATTTTTGGCCGCCAGGCCGCTGGGCCGCCAACTTCACAAAAATGACAAAATGAAAAAGTTCTCTGAAAGTGATTTTTCTTTTATATATCCTTTAAATAACAATAATTATCTTTAAAACTTCATTAAATGCCGTTTTATTGTTAAAATAACATTTCTACAACATTAAAATTTTGGCCGTCAGGCCGCTGGGCCGCCAACTTCACAAAAATGACAAAATAAAAAAGTTCTCTGAAAGTGATTTTTTCTTTTGATATATCCTTTAAATAACAATAATTATCTTTAAAACTTCATTTAATGCTGTTTTATTGTTAAAATAACATTTCTACAACTTCACGCCGCCAGGCCGCTGGGCCGCCAACTTCACGCCGCCAGGCCGCTAACTTCACGCCGCCAGGCCGCTGGGCCGCCAACTTCACACATCTTTCATTTTCACAAATTAATATTTCGTTATTACGAAATAATATTTCGTAAAAACGAATTAATATTTCGTAAAAACGAATTAATATTTCGTTATTACGAATTAATATTTCGTAAAAACGAATAAATATTTCGTAAAATCGAATTAAGTCTGGGAAAAAAAGTGTGGAAAATGTCACCTTAGGGGCTCCGTATTGTTGCAATATTGGTAAATAGTTTACACATACATTCATTAAACTATTAATATTTTATAATATCAACTGCCTGCCGAAATAGCCTTTTCGGGACGGGAAGATCTTTTCAGCATTTAATATACATTGTAATAATGTACAGTAAATGACAATGAGGTTTACATTCTTACATGTATATTAGAAACATAATACGTCTAATGGGAAAAATCACAATTGTTTATTAAATTGAAGTGCACAACAGACGCCATTTCACATTTTTGAACTGTTGAAATAAAAACTATTTAAGCACCATATATTTTTGTTTATATTGTTACGATGGTTGTTATGATGGTTTTGTTACGATGATTCTCGTTAAAGTTCCATTACAAAAGAAATATAAAGCACTTTTTGCCTGGTTGAGAAATAATTTAGTAACCAATTACTCAGGTATATTATTTTGCTTGCTGTCCTCATTACTGAATGAAGGTATTGTGACTGTTCATGGTTACTCAAAAATGGAATAGGATTTCATAAAAACGAATTATTATTTCGTAAAAACGAATTAACATTTTGAAAAAACGAAATATTTCGTAAAAGACGGATTATTATTTGGTAATTACGAAGAAATATTTCGTAAAAACGAATTATTATTTCGATTACGAATTAATATTTAATAAACACGAATTATTATTTCGTTAAAACGAATAAATATTTTGTGAAAACGAATTAATATTTCGTAATTACGAATTGATATTTCG